CTCTTTTTAAGCCATTAGTAAAGTTAGTGCTCGAAAAGCTTCATTTATTTATTTTGTCAGTTTTACACGAATCGTACTATTGGAATCGCTAAACATTACTCAGCTCAGCGTATTGTAACGTCTTAAGATACGATCGTATTATATTTGTTTTCAAGTTGATACGATGAGATACGATATGTCCCCATGACGCCTCGACCCGCAAAACAGTATCGTAAAAAATAATACAATTTTATTTGAATGAAAATATATTATGTAGCTGGTGAAATTGAATTTATTGAAATGAATCAAAAATTGTTTTTATGTAATAACCTAGCTATATATCATCCGGTATAGATACAACAAATAACACTGTTGTGATCTAAATATGTTTCTAGTTTCAAAGTCTTTCGTTCATATTATGTTCGATTCACGTAATTATAACATAACTTATACTAGAATTACTTGAATTTATGTGTGTATGAACAATTTTGTAGGCATACAACGAAAATGGTTCAGAATAAATCGTGAGAGAGAGGTCAGTATACAATAATATTAAATTATACACTCTTTACTGTATAATTTCATTTTGAAGGAGCACAACAATGAGTACCAAATCCCTTGTCGTTTTTGACAATTGTTGCTTACAAGAGTAAAACTCGGGTCAGGTGGACACTGTCTGCTTCAATTTATCAGACACCGTAGTACAACGTAGCACGTGAACTACAATTTATATTGTATAGGTAATATAAATAAAACAGAAAGAATTGTACACCCGAAATCATTTTTTTTTGTGCGCCAAATTTAAATACCTAATAGACCCATCCACACATTTTCGATCGATTGTAATATCAGTATATCACCGTATATTAACATGCGTCTATTTGAAGTATTTTTTTTATCACTGTTTCTTGTGCACGGTTAATTTAAATATTTCGCATTTGCTCTTGCAGCGTTTAATAAAAATGCGTACTTTGAACCCCTAAGCTATCGAAAATAATAATTTACACTGTGATGGTGGTTTTTTTTATGAAATGTTCAATAATAATAAGACGCCTGAATATCAAAATTATATTCCTACGAGAAAAAATGACTTGTTCAAAATTATTATATTTTTTGATAATATGCGGTCGTCAAAATAGTATAGCTGGCGTAACAAAAAATTGCGAAAAATCAAAATTTGAAAAATGTCATCGTGACGTATGCAATTAGGGAAGGAACAAAAAAAAAATCACGCTGTGTCATGTGTGTGTAAAACGTTAAGCCTCGACCGCGATTTCTACGCATACATATTGACACGCGTGTGCATCGGGCCGACCGTAATAATCGGCTTATACTTCCGTTTTAAATGTTACGATCAACCGTATTTCCGACGTGTACAATATGAGACATATACATAATGCTATTAATGTAATAAATCATATTGTATTATACATTATAGCCGTGTCGTGCCGTGTCTTAAGACAGCCGGCTGGGTACGACCACCATCGTCCCCATGTCTCCTGAAATCTTCTCGATTCTCGATGGCAATGATTGTCGTCGATTGTTCCGGAAGTCGAGTGTGCACATATATTTTTGAATAGAGATGAGAGGGGTAATCGCCGCCCAGCAACCGGCGACCGTCGCGTCTAATTAACTCACGACTGTACCTACGTCATATAAACAGTATACATATATTATTATGTAAAGCATTATGTAATATTATAATGTGTATTATTATTATATACATGGGTAGATATTACTGCAGCTGTTCGTATGCTGTTGTATGCGTAGGTATTGTACACCTACGTATATTATGCGATTTTACGGAAATACAGCGTAGTATAATGTTACGACTATTATTAATATTATTATCATCATCGTCATCATCATCATCATCATCATCATCATCATCATTATAATATTGACCGAGTAAACAACGAGAAATGAAAATCGGCGGCGGCGGCGGCGGCGGCGGCGGCGGCGTAGCGCGAGCACAAAAGACGATATAGGAATGCGAAACGGAAAATGATTAATGCAAACGGTCCCGTTATAACATTTGTCATATAATAATAATAATAATAATAATAAATATATTATCTATATATTTATACATGTATATATGTGCTCGCCGACGTATATAATATATGCAAACGGGTTGCGATGAGTTTAGTGCAGCAAAAAGGGGTAGGATGATACCATTATAATGTGCGTGCGTGTACGTATACATCATGTTATCCAGCACACAAAGGCTTCTCTAACGTCACCGCCTCAAGGACACGAAAAATCCTTTACCGTGGTCGCCGAGCACATTACCGACAGACAGACATCGGCCACCGTCTTCAGCGTTCCCCTAAATTGTTTTTCGTATCGGATATTTTATTATATATTATGCGTATATCGTCGTGTACATATGGATACGCGTATTATATACGCACCATGTACACTCTCGGACCCGAAAAATTCCACGTTGTGTGTATATAGTGTTGTAGCAGTAAACGTTATGTTTTTATTGCTGTTTTTTCTTTCTCGTACGTCCCCCGCGGATACGGTCGAGGAAAAAAAAAGATAACGTCAATCTCACGTGAACCACCACATATTGTATACAGAAATTGTTTCTTCCTTTTTCTTCATATTATTACCCTCCGTTACTTCTCTCTCCTCGCCCTGTATACCTACCCACCCCTAATATCATTCTACCCTTAGCTCCCGTTTTTATTCGCCTGAATACGATTCGGTCATCGTTATGATGTACCTAGCATACATATATATTATACTACTATAATAGCTGCGCACACTTGAACGCCGCGCCGGCGTATGCGTGGAAAAAAATAATAAAAATCGCTTAGGTCGAACAAAACCCACGACTATGATACTTTGTTGAATGTATATGCAGGAACTTGGGGGGAAAAAATTAAAGGATCCTCAAGGACGGGTATTCTGCCAAAATTAATTGAAAATCCTAAAAACAACAAGTCTTATTATTTATAACTACTATAACGTCACATAATTATTGTATACGGCCGTTATGTTACGTATTCATATGACGTCCAAGCCCATTACGATGTCTTTAAACGATAATTATTCGTAAATAAATATTATATATTTATATTAAATGAGCGGAATGTATAAAAAATAAAGTTTCCCCCACCATCGAGAACATCAACAATATAATATGTATATATTATTATATTCCGTTATAAAAGCCGTTTTGAGGGCGTAAAGGCAATCAGAATGGTAATTTCGTACAACTTAACTTAATCCCTCTGGTTTTGTGCCGACAGTTGTTGTTATACTCCGACATGCACCAAATGGCTTTCCTCTCTAATTAAGTCCAACTACCGTACTTTCGCACGTATGCATGTGTAAATATGTGCAAATATGGGAACATGTTACCTACACGTGGTTGTATTTATGGCCTTGGATAATAAGAGGATATATTAATTTGCATGAATCATGTTTACCGTGGCTTGTAAATTTCCCGCAATTTACTCTTTTACAGTTGCAGGCTGTGAAAAATAAAAATCTTTAACGACATTCTTTGCTGTGAGTATTTTATTCTCAAAAATAATTCCGCAGAAACAAATAAAACACTATAATAAAACCATACTATTCCACCAGTTTCGCATCGATGAAATGTATCTTTTTTATGTTTGAGTCTTGCCGTTATTATAAATGCATAAAACGTAGAGGAAGTTAAATTATAACAACAGCTATTCTGTTAATATTAACATTTTGTATAAATCAGAGTATAAATTAATGTTCATCTTACCATACAAAAAAAAATACTTCATTTTTATCTTACTAAATAAGTTTGTATATTATGATGACTTTACTACTGAAATGCCTTAAAATCTAGATAAATACTGTAGTCATTAAAAGCAACTTAATAGCTGCACATTTTCGTACAATTTTAGTTAGTTATACCTTTTTAATAAAAATAACTAATAAATACAATTATTATGGAATGTGATGTCTGCATTGGAATTTATATTACCAACCAAAATGCGATGATATATATATTTTGCCGTTATATTAATGATTTGAAAGGATTAAAAAGAAATAATTAAAGAAATGGCATTATTAGTTACATCTATCAGGATACCAGGACAAAATTTGTATACATTTCTTTTATCAAAGAATGCTTTTTATAATAAAAATTAAATAGGTTCCCCTCGCGATTGCTTTTATAAGTAACAAAGAAGAAGTCATTCAAAAATATTTTTTGAACTTTAAAAAAAATTATCTTTTAATATAAGTATACTGCTTCGGCCTCTTTTTGTTAACCTAAAATTTAAATTTTCAGTGTAGTTGAAAATAAATTAAAACTTAAAAGATATTAACTTTTTTAGTTTTGACAAATTATAGAAGTATTGTAAACTATTATTTTTTAATATAATTAATTTCAATAAAATATGGAATAAATACAATGCGTTATTAGAACAATTAGGTCTTATATACTCACTATTAATTATATTATTTATGTTTATGATATTTTGAAGTTACAAATCAAAATATATTATAAGAATATACCTATTCATAAAAACGATTGAATTAAAAGTTTTTTTCAAATATATTTTAAAAGAATGAATATTATTAGTTCACTTTTGATGTTTTGATAGTTCTTACTAAATGTTGAGTGATAAACACATTCGAATGCAGTATGAAGATATAGGTATTAATTATTATTTAAACACCTATAGCCATACATAGGCCACACGTCATATTGTACGGCAATCGGTGACCTTAAAAAATATTAACTGTCGTTTCGTTATATTGACAGTATTCTAATATGACATTATACCTTTAAGACTCGAGGTGCAAATATCGTATCGATTACTTTGAACTAAAGTCTATTATATTTCGTATATATAGCTATTTTTTTCCACCATGGAGACAGCTGCTATCGTAAAGGCGCTCCGTGACATGTACATTATTATCACTACTTACTCGGAAAAGGACATCTTAATAACATTATTATTCTTCATTTGACAAATAATTTAATAATAATATTATGATTTTCTGTCTCTGTTTATGTCATCTAGATATATCGCTTTAAAACAGTACAGGACTGCGAGTCCATCGCCATGTTGCGCTTCGAAGCATGTATGTCATCTTCCCGGCGGACGAAGTCGTACAGCTGTCATTCGGTCGACCCACAACACGTCAGCGTCAACAGCAGCGGTCCGGTCAACGTTGTTATTGCGACCAACACCGTACTGTCCCAGGTGAAAACAAATTATATATTATGCAATTAAATATCTATACCTACGGAGCTCTTTTTTTTTTTGGTTGGTTTTTTTTTTGTTTTCACACACATTGGAGGTTGAAAAAACACCAAAGCGTCACCCACGAATTACGATTAATGGCGGTCAAGTTCTGTGAACCCGTTTAGTTAATACAAATATATTTACATACTATATAATATGTTTATTATTATTGTACATAATAAGTGTGTTAAACGATCGTACATTAGACACTAAATACTAATATAATATAAGTCCATTCGTTTATTTATAATTATTATATTATAACATGTTTTTTAAAAGAATTTAATTGATATGGGAAAATTAGCGAGTACGAGTTTATCACATAGCACTTGAAACAATCCTGTGCGATAGGACATAATAATATCAAGTGTTATAAATGCCACTAATAAAAAAAAATATAGATAATTAAAAATTGATTTTATTATAATCTTATTGTGTACAGTTTAATCATAAATCTCATAGTGAATAAATATTAACATCTAGATGAACACATATACATGCATCACTTCGACTAAATTTAAAATTTAATGAATATTTTATTAAAATATTAAGAATTTTTTTTGTTATTAATTTTATTATAAAAACATTACTTCTTAATATTTGCATTCATTTAAAAATTTAACACTAAGTTGATTAAAATAACAAATGAGAAAGGATATGTCATTTTAATGCATTCTTGAAGGGGGATCTAACAATGTATCTAACTATTTATTTATTAGTAAACCCTAAAAGACACTGTATACTCTTTACATACAAACCAGATGTTTGGTTTCTCACGGTTTTAAGGAAACTGGACGCTTCTATAAACAGAAGTACGAAACATAAGTTGTATTGTTCTTGTATTTTATATACTTTTTTGGAACTCATTTATTTATGTATACGTGACGTTCAACTGAAATATTTGAGTGCTTGATAATAACGATCCCCTGGGGTCCGATGCTTGAACATTTTTTCTACATTCAGATCCCTTTTCACACCACTCCAATTAGCGTGGCAAAGCAAGTGTCTCTCACAAACACAAGCTCGGAGGAAAAAAATAATATTCACTTCGGTTGACGAGATCAGGTTGAAAAATACTCGTAATCTCGATAAAAAAGTGGTTTCAGTCGTTATTGAATACGAAGTATTAACTTTTCCGTTTGTGCCAGTCGATTGATTTGGCCCTTATATCCACTTTATCGAAAACGCGAAGAAAAAATTATACCTATTCGTTTATATGAGTACATCGAAAAAGCAGCACATAAATAAATAAATAAATAATCTTATTACGAACCTGTATACTTACAATTAGGTGAATGTATACACAACACATATACTAATTTAACGGTTGTTTAACTAATAGTATATGACTACAGTGGTAGTACACTGGCACGTATAAAATAAGAATAACTTATTTTTATACTTTGAAAACACTTATGTATACAACTTAAATTTATCATTCATTTTTGACTTTATTACGGTTTGGAATATTAACGCATAATTCGGTAAGCGAAATATGATAATATTTTGATACACACTGAAATAGTGATAATATAAATAGGTATTGATAAGTGAGTTGCCTTATCTTGTTCATTAAAACAAATCATTTTTAATGAAATTCTAATTTAAAAGTTAGAATAATTTGTGTTGAATCAAATGTTATATTTAAGGCTTTTAAAACTATCACAAATATTTACCTAGTTATATTTATTTTCCATAATTATATAATCCCATTATAAGTCTACTCACTGTATTTGAACCCGTGTATAAGTATATTTAATGTGTAGTTTCATAATACTTCAGTGTCTAAATACATATGTGTACGTGCAGGGTGAGCTTGTATGGGTTTAAGCCATGCAAAAGATAAATATGGTATGAAGTTTATTAATTGTATTTCTAAGGTAAAATTAATATTACCTAGTGAAAGAGAATGTTAAGATAGGTACTAAGTTTAATGAAATATCTACGTGTATAAAATAAATTCTTTAATATCGTTTAAACAATATGATTATTAATTAATACAATCTAAGCACTTTAATTAATGTTGGAAGGAGTATATTATAATAGAAATAAGAAACTATCAATTCTAGGGCATCGTATAATTTTGGTCATTTAGTTATTACTTATTAACTATCGAAAATAAGCGTTTATGCTTAAACTGATTTGGCATCATGGATTTATTGAATGCTTTGTCATTGGGTAGGTTTTTTATGTTCATCCTAGATATACAAAATCAGCTGCTTACAAAACTCAAGCTTAAGACACGGACATTGAATGACAATCAATACAAACAAATAATGTAATATTCGAAAAGTGCCGTAATAGTAAATTCGATTTATTTTAAAATGTTCCTCTTGAACGCACTTATGTACCTATTTTGCCTATACAGTGCGCCGTGTTATACGTAGGTATTATAATACTACAGTAATAATTAATAATAGATGGACATGGGTTTGCAGCGAAGACATCTTGCCACATCGCTAATCTCGGTTTCAGTACAATGATGTAGGTACTACGCAGTGGTAGATAGAGATGTTTTAAGTTACCGTCAACTGAATTCAAGGGCCTCTTAACAAAAGGGCTGTCTAAAATGTACTGCTTGCTTTGCTCGCATTTCATTGATACAATTGTTGTACATTCTTACTTCTTAGTATTATATAATAATAAAACAATAATACAATCTATCATTTACTATAGATAAAATGTATAACAAATCCATGAAACAGTTGTTACATTTTAATTATAATTACGATTTGATTTTTAGGTCCTTTAGAAGGTAATTGTAAACACATTCACGGTCTGTGGTAATAATACCTCTCTAAAAAAAAAGGAATACTAATTAGCTGTTGTTAAGTTGTTTGGTATATATAGTATAAATTAAATGTAGTTATGTATACCAGTAAATTAGTATGGTTTATAATTATATTTTGTGCTTCATTTTGTTGCTTCTGAAATTTTTTCTCTTTTGAAAGTAAATTTTCAATATTACATTCTTGGTTTTGAATATGGTAGATACTATAAGAAATTTAAAAACTTACATATATTATACATTTGTAGGTCCTTTTATTTAATCATTTTGATAGATTTTAGTACGGCGTTTACTTTCAACAATTATTGTATCAGTGCTTATTACTTATTTTATTATCTTTAGAAAGATGTTGGTCACAAAGAATTGTTCACTACCACATTCATGTTCTGTTAATGTCTAAACATGAAGAAAATTAATTAATGGTTGTTTGATTATGAATATGTTGATGAAGTAACCATGATGATGTTAAATCAAATCTTTCAATAACAATCGCACTCAGGTTACATACCATAATTGTTCACAATTTTTTACTTTTAGTTCAATAATTATGTGAATTGTATAATATACAAAAGGAAGTATCAAATCAATTACCCGGTAATAAAGGCGATCGAATGATTTTTACCATTTTGTTGTTTGCAGTTAAATTTATGACTAATATTCATCTACTTAAAAATATAAAAATATTTCAGAGAAGTGTGTCAAACAATACATTTTAGAATATCTAAGCAAGTATCACATATTTCAAATTATTTAGTTATCCCGTTATGTATGAATATGATTCTAAAGTATGTTTAAACTTGGTTTACTTAGATGAAAAAGTATGGTGAAACAGAGATTTTTTTTAATCTTGTAATTTGCACATTGCACAATAATTTATAATTTTTTCTATTCGAAGAATCACTCCTAAATTTTTGTAGCATATACAACAAAATTCATAGTTAATAATTATAATTTATAACGAATAATGAAAAAACCACGTAGGTACACAATTATCATCATATCAGTATTCAGTCAAGTGAATAATGGTAGTCAATACTTAGTAAAGTTTCATATCATGAGATCATAATCAAATTTTGATAAAACAATTTCCAAAAATCCCAAAATGGTACCATGTTTTTGATAAAAGTAGGTTACAATATATTTATTTCATGTACAGTATTTCCAGATTGTTTTATACAAATAACGGCCAGTATTAATCAAAGGGTCTGTTACATGTAACAATTTCTAGTTAAAATTATTTTGCAAATTATATATATATGTAGGTATTGAAATTTAATAACGTGATGGGGCCGAGGTCGTGTCACCGGAGAACAAGCACCAAATTGGCACCATAGCCTTCCGGAAATATCCCGATAGGGAGATCTATCCACCACTATACTACGTGTACATAATATATATTAAAACATTGCCGATAAAGCATTATTCTGTAACTACATTTTAGGGATTCAAAAATGTAAATTAAATAACACAAATTTTCAACATTAATCTATGTAATAGACAGGATGTTAAATTTTTTATTTTATTTTTGACTAAAAACGATGATGCTAAAATGTTTTAAGTCACTTTTTTTTAAACAAGTATTTAAATTTAAGTAATTTTAAAATAAACAGAAAGTAATCGTTTTAAATTTCCTGTCACAAAAAATTATATTCATCTTGTACAGTGGTTCTTGTATTCTTTATTTAATTTGTAATTTAAATTTTATAAACAATAAAAGCAATAATTATATTCGTAAAGCAAATGTTGCCTACTTATTTCAATAGAAATCGTTTAATACTTATATTAGCTATTGGTTTATTGATGTATTTATACCACCGATCTAAAATATATGACTTGACATTTTTAGAAATACAAACGCTGCCTGCGTTATGTACGTTTTAATAAATGATATTTCAACTCAAAAAATAAAAACGAGAGCTGGAGTATCGGGAAAATTTGTAATGTAACGAAATTTTTTTTTACCTTCCTATTGAAATATCCTCATTGTTTATTTCCTCGCTTGTATATTTAGCAGTAGCTGAAATTCTTTACCCGTGTGATCGGGAGTGCATGCAAGAAAAAAAAATATTAAATATCATAACACACTCTGCTGATCCGCTTCTTAAACGTCATGTTTTAAACATTATTTAAGATACATTTTATCGTGAATAAATTGTATATACATCAAGCA